CACACACACACACACACACACACGCGTGCGCGGGCGCGCGTGGCTGCATCGGCCCCCTCGATCTTTCTCGGGGATGGAGGGAGGCGGAGGCTCGGTTCGGGGACTCCCCCCGAGTGCTGATGTGGAGGGGGGCCGGCTGTGGGCAGACCTCGGCTCCATCGGATACCCCCCCCTTTCACTCTTCCTCCCCTCCCCCCTCCCGCCACCGGCTGCATCCCTCACCCCTCTTCCATACCCTGCCCCTCCGCGCCCCCTCTCTCTCCCCCATCCCACCTGGACGCGGCCCCTCCTGAGCGGATCCACACCCCCCCCCAATCCCCCGTTTCATCCACCATGACTCAACAGAAGAACCCGAACGAGATCGGTAATAAGATCAAGCGCCAGCAGGTATACCGCCTGCAGAAGGCCGAGCGCAAGAAGGCAAAGGAGGAGAAGCGCAAGCGCTCCCGCGAGGAGGCTGCCGAGCTGGGTGAGAACGTACGCACACATCTCCGTATCCTGGCCTCCCTGAGCCTCTTCACACACACATGCACATGCACATGCACTCCTCCATGCTGGCCGGACACTCTTGGTGGTGTCACCTTCTGCACATGCCTTTCCGATGACTTTCCTGACACCCATCACTCCCCCCCCACTTCAGGCTGGAGTACCACCGCCGCCTAGCACATCGGCTGATCGGCTGCTCCCCGGTCAATATTGACCTTGAATCCCGGCTGCTAGACATCCTTCAGGTACTCGGGCGTCTGCCATGAGCGCCCCCTTGTGCTTTGCCCTCGGCTCGTGCTCTTTCTCCTCCTCCCCTTTCGCCACATTCCCCGCTGACATCTTTCCTGTCGCCTTTGTGAAAGACCACCATTGGCACGGACTTCATCTCCGATATGAAGCGCCTGCTCAGTGACATGATTGAGCGCTCGTCCAAGGCCCAGGAGACCTTCCTGGAGGCCTACCAAGACGACTCAACTGAAGTTGGCCAGCTTCTCCGTCGCAGTGCGTCACATCTCGCCTGGGTGGTGCTTCCCCCCCCCCCCCTCCCGCCCCGTGCCCCCCTCTTCCCGGTACCAATCCCGCCTTTTTGGCTGGCCTTCCCCCCCCCCCCCCCCCCCCCCCGCAGTCGAGTTGAAGGTTTCCGTCATCAGCATGCATGTC